CTCAAGTCTTTTACCACTCCAATCCATCATCCACTCAGTCCCTGACCTCCCCACTACTCGATAAACTCCAGTGGCTCCTTATCACTTCCAGGATCAAATACAAAGTCTTCTGTTTAGATTTCAGAGCCCTTCGTAATGTAACCCTCTCCTACTTTACTCTTGTTACCTATTTTTCAATCCAGTGACAATGGCATCCTTGCTCTTCTATGAATGAGACACTCCATTTCTCTGCTCCTGGCATTTTCTCTGGCTGTTACCCATACCCGGAATGTTGTACCTTCTCATCTCCACCGACTACCTTTTCTTACTTCCTTAAAGTCCCAATTAAAACCCCATCTTCTACAAGAAGACTTTTCCAATCCCTCTTAATTCCAGTGCCTTCTCTCTGTTAATGATTTCCTATTTATCCCGCATATAGCTTCATATATATTTATTTGCATGTCATCTCCCCCATTAGATTGTAAGCTTATTGAGGTCAGGAACTGTCTTTTTCCTCTTTTTTGTATCTCCAGAGCTCAGTACAATCCCTGGCATATAATAGGTGCTTAATGAGTGTTTATTGATTGATTGTTGGCCCCTCGAATTGATTGACTGACAAAAACTTTACCTTGGCACATATTCAAGAACATGTCAATACCTATTGTCTAAGAGGAGTCTTATGATGAGCTGGTTCTTATAAGTAAAGTAAAAATGATATATAGTTAGTGACATTGAAAGGTCTCAGGATTGACATTCTGCTTGAATACCAATAAATATCCCAAGAATGACCTTGATAGAAGCTACTCTTATCTTTGAGTAGGCATGGTGTGGGGTGAGGGGTGGGGAGAGAGAAGTAGAAACCTTTTGTAGAAGTTAGGAGAAAGAAAAATAATCTGTTCACTTTTTAGCAGATTGAAGCCACCATAAGTAGCTCTGCTTCAAAGAAAACTATTAACTCAACTTGAAAGCAAAAAGGATTGTGATAGACCATACTTAATGCAAAAGTTTCTTCTGCTTAGGAAAGTATCCCAAAATGGTAATTGGGTTTGCATTTTCAGTAGAAAATAATAGTATCTACCTCAGAGGCTTATTGTGAAGACCAAATGAGATAATACGTGGAATGTACTTTGGAAACCTTAAAGCTCTAAATCAATGTTATTATTATTATTATTATTATTATTATTATTATTAGCAGTGCTGGTAGTGGTGGTAGTAGTGGTAGTAGTAGTAGTAGTAATGTTAATGTACTGGCTAATGAAGAAGGGTCACCCTGGACACACAGGCAGTGTCTCTAACATTTTGAGTTATAAAGGTGAGTGTTTTTGCACCTCCAGCCTCTCAGTCCAGAAGTTAACACTCTGTTAAACAATGATTACATGCACCAGGAAAGTTCAAAATGTATAGGAACACTGCTAGGGATCTTTTAGTAAAGGGACATCAAAAGGAATAAATTATTGTAATTGATACAATTATCCCCTATCCTGAAAGAATATGAGTTGAAAGGAGCCTCAAAAGCCAGACAGCCTCATGGAATCTTAGGTACATAGTAGAGTGAAAGGAGTGTTGGATTTCAAGTCAGAGCCTGTAGGGTGCTCTTGAGTCCTGGCTTGGTCAGTTACTGTCTGTGTGACCTTGGGCATTTCATCTCTTGGGGCTTCTGTTTTCTCATTTGAAAAATGAAAGATGTGCATTGGTCCCTTCCATTTCTAAATCTAAGATCTAGTCTAGTCCATAAACTGAAAAACAATCTTCTCTACGAAATATCCAATAGATGGTTTGTCTTTACTCTCCTCTCTGAACTCTGTTATCCAGCCACGCTGGCCTTCTTGCTATTCTTTGACCAGAGTATTCTCTCTCCAACTCCATACCATTTGATGGCTGATCCCCATCACAGGAACACTCTTCCTCCTGGTCTCCAGCTGCAGGATTCTCTGGCTTCCTTCAAGACTCAGATCAACTCCTTCCTGTCATTGTTCAGTCTTTTTCAGTCATGTCTGCCTCTTGGTGACCCTATTTGAGGTTTTCTTGGCAAAGATACTGGAGTGGTTTGCCATTTCCTTCTCCAGCTCATTTTACAGATGAGAAAACTGGGGCAAACAGGGTTAAGTGACTTGTCCAGGGTCACACAGCTAGTAAGTGTCTGAGGCCAGATTTGAACCCAGTAAGATAAATATTCCTGACTTTAGGTTTGGCACTCTATCTACTCTATTCTCTTCGCTTCCCCAGCTCAACGTCTACCTTCTGCCTTTCCCGCTTACCCTTAATTGCTATCTTCTTTCCTTTGAGGTTATCTCCAATATACCTTGTTTGTATATAATCATTTGCATGTTGTCTCCCTCACTAGAATGTGAGTTCCTCAAAGGCAGTGACTGTTTTTTTTCCCTTTGTATCCCCAGCTCTCAGCAGAGTGTCTGGTACATAGTAAGTGCTTAATAAATGCATGTTGATCTCCACTTTGCTTGAAGTCTTGAGTGAGGAGTAACCCACTACTTCTTAAAATAGCCCATCCATTGCTCCTACTTCTTCTCTATAGGGTCAACCAGAGCAAATCTAACCTCCCTTCCATGTGACAGACCTCCAAATACTTGAAGATAGTTATTGTGTACCCCTTTAAATTTTCTCTGATTCCGACCAACTCTCTATCTTGGTCATTCTCTGGATGCTCTCCACCTTGTCCAAGTTGTTGCTGTTTAGTTGTTTCAGTCATATCTGATTCTTTGTGACCTCATTTTTGGGGCACTGGAGTGGTCTGCCATTTTCTTTTCTAGCTCATTTTACAGATGAGGAAACTGAGATAAACAAAGTTAAGTGACTTGTCCAGGATCACATAGCCAAATAAGTGCCTGAAGCTGGATTTGAACTCATGAAGATGAATCTTCCTCATTCCAAGTCCAATGCTTTATCTATCATGCCACTTAGCTGCCCACATACTTCCTATAATTTGGTGTTCACAATTAAACTTAATACTCCTAAGCAGATGATTATCAGCTTATTCCAAGAGGATATGCCTTATAGTTCTCCCCTGTTGCATTCAACAACCATCTATTATACATCTCTTTCGTGCCTGCTTTCATAAGTAGGGACAGAGGCTGAAGAAGAGTCATAGAATGTCTAAGTTGGATTTTAAGATCATCAGTCCAACATCTCACAATTTTGCAGTTCATAGATCAAGAAACTGGTGCTCAGAAAAGTGAAATGACTTGTCTAAGGTCCATGTTATCTTGATTTTAAACTCAATACTTTCCCCACTAACTCTAGTTGTTTCCAGGACGAACTAGGAGAGACTTCAGAAATTATCTAGTTTAAAACTTCCTCTTATCTAACCCTTTTATTACTTTTGTTAAACCCTGAAAATAAATGACCACAGAGTAACGGAAGTTATGCAATCGCTGTTAACTCTGAAAAATATCAAAGAGCTCACCGAGGTAATAACCCAACTGTTAACTCTGAAAAACAAAACAAAATAGAACAAAACCAAGGAGCTAACAGTGGTCATAAGCAAAAAGCATTCTTTATTCCACTGGAGAAGGGAAACTGCACCTGCATGCTGGGGTCCGCTCTGATACTGCAGTGAGGATGAGCCTTGACACTAGTGGCTATGCAGTGAGCTGTAGCTGGGTCAATAAGGCGTAACACCAACAATGACACAAGTTTGATTCATACCAGGGCTCCATGACCGGAACATGGTTCCTGCAGGTGCTTGTCTGAGCTCAGGGACTGCCCGGGGCTGGTGTGGAAACAATTATGGGATTTTACTGCAGGAGAGTTTATCCAGACTGTGAGCAAAAAAGAATTGTTGTTATGCCAAGCTCAGGGCACAGCTCACTTGCCAGGCCTTAGCTCTGGAAAAGAGGGTGTCTTGGGGGCAGCTAGGTGGCACAGTGGACAGAGCTCTGGCTTTGGAGTCAGGAAGATCTGAGTTCAAATCTGGTCTCAGACACTTACTAGCTGTGTGACCCTGGGCAAGTCACTTAACCCTGATTGCTTCACCAAAAAAAAAAAAAAAGAGGGTGTCTCCTAATAGTAAACAGAAGAGATAGAAAAAGGGGGTGGTGGTCTTGGCATGGGGATCCTGACACTTTTTTCAATTAACAATCCTTAATTTTTCTCCCTTCCATCTTACCACCAACTGGAGAAAAATAAAAAACAAAGCCCTTATAACATATATATATTAAAGTGAAAAAAATCTCACATTGGCCGTGTCCAAAAATACATGGCTCAATTTGCGTATTGACTCCATCATCTCTCTGTCAGGAGGTGGGCATCATTCTTCATCATTGGTCTCCTGCAATCATAGTTGGTTATTACATTGATCAGAGGTCTTCAGTCTTTCAAAGTTGTTTGATTTAAAATGTTTTTTATTATATACAATGTTCTCTTGGCTCTGTTCACTTCATTCCAAATTGGTTTATACAACTTATCCCAGGTTTCTCTGAAACCATCCTTTTAATCATTTCTTAAGGCACAATAGTATTCCATTACATTCGTATACTAAAATTTGTTCAGTCTTTCTTTTTTATAGGTGAAATTATTATTAGCTTCAGGCTCTCACCCTAATGGTGTAATACCATTTGTCCCAAAGGGCATGGTGGTATAGTGGATAGAAGTGCTGGGCTAAAATCTCACCTCAGACACTTACTAGACTGGAAAAGTCATCTTTAATATCTGTGAACTTTAATTTCCTCATCTGTACAATGGGAAAAATGTCATCTTACTTCAGGGAAGCTGTTGTGAGGATCAAATAAAAAGTATGTAAAGTGTTTTGCAAAGCTTAAAATGCCACATCAGTGCAAGCGACTATTATTTGAAGAGTTAATTGCGCTAAGTGCAATGAGTGTATTGCTAAAAGACATGCATAAATCAAATTACCTTTTAAAAAATGCAACAGATGAACTCTATGCACCTAGAGCAAGAGGGTACTATCGATGCACTCTGAACTCCTTTGATTAGACCTGATTAGAAATGCGCTTCCGGAGATAGGCGATGGCTTAATAGGAACTTAAAGCAACTGTTTTCCCCAGGGCTGCCTTGAGTCGTCACCCGATCCCGCCCCATCAGGCGTCTGCGCGGCTACTATTGGTCAAAAGGCCCCGCCCCCTCGCTTCTCAGCCCATTGCTTCCTCTCTTGCGCTGTTACTCTTCGGGGTCGTGCGCGGTACCCGACCGGAAGTTAATTGAGAAACAAGATGGCTGCGCCGGTGCCTGCTGTTGGACGTCTGGAGGAGGAGGCGCTGCGGCGGAAAGAGCGGCTCAAGGCGCTTAGAGAAAAGACTGGGCGCAAGGTGAGAGGAGAAGAAAGGCGGGATGGGTGGCGGGAGGCTGCCGCGGGGGGAGAAGTGTGGACGGAGCGGGGTAACGGCCCGGGGCGCGCGGGGGCAGAGCTGGCCTGCAGGACTCTCGATGGGCGCATGCTCTTGGATCTCTGGAGAGCCTGTGTCTCTGCCCAGAAGTCCCCCTTGCCTAGCATCTGAGGCCCCTCGACTTGGCCTCTTCTGCCTTCATCGGGAAAAGCCGGTGAAGGGCGAGCGAGCGTGGCCGCGAAGAGATTCTCTTCCCTTCACATTCCCAAAGGGGAAACTGCAGGCGTGGGGAGGGGGAGATGAAACGAGGTGAGGTGGAAGTTGCCTTTCAGCTTCCCAGGGGTCGTTCCTCCTCTCCATGGGGAAGAGAGAGTGGGTTTCTCTACTCTGTGCCCGTGTCAGCCTTAAAGAGTGACAGGAATCTGAATAACATTGAAGATAATCCGAGGAAGTTAGGCAAAGTGATGTAATGGGAACAGCACTGGATTTAAAATGAGGGAATGGACTAGAGGGCCTCTTAAACTTTTTCCACTCATGACCCCTCAGCGCTTCTTAATGTGACCCCACTTGATGACTGGTGATGGGACACTGGACTATTCTAGGGGAGGTAAATAGATTTAAAAGCAGTGTCATGTAATGGAGAATGAATTCAGAACCAAGGGGTCAGGGAGAGGTAGACTACCTCTGCACTTCTGTGAAGAAGATAGGGTTTTGCAACTTCTCTTTACTCGTGTGGCTTTCTTTTCTTTGGCTTTTCTAGTTCCTGTCTGTCAAATAAAGTTGGATTAAAGTCCTTCTCTTGTACCAGGAGCCCAGAATGAAAGAAGTGAAAACTTAGGGTCTTTCCTCAAAGTCTGACTTTGTGTTTGGTGTTGGATATACAGAGATACTACAACTGAGTCTTTGCCAGAAAAGAGATCGCAAAGTAGCAAGAGGATGAGACATGTATACATATCTGTATGCTGCAAAGACTGGGAATCAGGAAACCCTGCTTCTTGAGTTTGGACTCTGCCACAAGTTACTTCTGGAGAAGGAAATGGCAACCCACTCCAGTAGCTTTGCCAAAAAAACCTCAGATAGGGTCAGAAAGAGTCGGACACAACCGAAAAATGACTGAACTGACAAGTTACTTCCCTGCTTTGAGGATCCGTTTCCTCATCTGTAAAATGAGGGAATGGACTAGAGGGCCTCTTACACTTTTTCCACTCATGACCCCTCAGCGCTTCTTAATGTGACCCCACAGTTTAAGAAGCAGGTTGCTCCTTCTAGCTTTAAGGGTCTATGAGCCTGTGGATCTAAACTGTATGTGCATCTGTACATGCAAGTAACATACCATGGAAAGGTTAATTAACGGAGGAACCTGTTCACTCTGCCATCCAAGGCCTGTCTTTTCTTAGCATTGTTCTTGATTATTCTTGATATTGTTTTGTATGCCATATCATGCTATTAGACTGTAAGTGATCTTTTTTTTTTTACAGCAAGGATGGAACAGTCTTGGCACAATTTTCCCTGACAGACTTTTAGAAGTTAGAGGTGAAGAGGGAGAACTGAGAGGAAGTGAGATATGAATGATGTACTTATGCTGCTCCTGTTTAACTTGTCGATTCACAGTAGTCCTATCTCACTCCTGGGATGAACTTCTTCCCCTTCACAGACATCTGATTCTATTTGAAAGGTGGATACGTACTTTGACTCTCTTCATATACTGTATGAAATATATAAATATTTATAAATATATTTTAAAATTTCCTAATTTGTGTTATAGGTATTTTTATATATAGTTACTTGTCTTATCCTTGTGCTAGATTGTAAACTCCTTGAGGGCAGAGGCCATATCTTTTTTTTTTTTCCAGAGGCAGTCGGAATTAAGTAGCTTGCCCAGGGTCACACAGCTAGTAAGTGTCAAGTGTCTGAAGCTGGATTTGCACTCAGGTCCTCCTGACGCCAAGGCTGGAGCTCTATCCACTGTGCCACCTAACTGCCCCTAAGGCCATGTCATTTAATCTTTATATCAAGTGTCTAGAATATGTTTATTGTTTGTTGAATTCCTAACTTGATGACTGGTGATGGGACACTGGACTATTCTAGGGGAGGTAAATAGATTTAAAAGCAGTGTCATGTAATGGAGAATGAATTCAGAACCAAGGGATCAGGGAGAGGTAGACTACCTCTGCACTTCTGTGAAGAAGAGGTTTTAGAGAAGGGAGGGAAGGAGAAATGGAAGGATAGGAGGTTGTGCTCAAAAATTTCAGAATTGTGGATCACAGAGGTAGACAGTTACTGATGATTGTGAGATTTATAGTATCACAAACCCTGGGGTGGAGTGTGATTGTAGGTTGAGAGAATTGAGGGGGTTAATGAACTGGAAGGCCGTGGAAATTGAGTGTATATGTTGAAGTCCCCATATGCAAAGGCATAGGGAGGGTGTGAACAAGGTATTGAACTTCTTGACATACAGACTGAGTCAGCAGCTGGTAAGATGATACAGCAAAGGTCTGGAGAGAGAGATCTGGAGTATGTGAGCCTCTTTGCAGTGAGAGGGTAGTAGCAGTCCTGGGCACAGTCTCTTTTGAGACTGTGAGAGGTAGTGAAATGTAGTGCATATGTACTGAACTTAGAGTCAAGAAGACCCACAAAGGCCTCTGAGGTTCAGCATTGCCTCTGATAAATTAGTAACTCTGTGAACATGAGTGATTCCCTTTACCTGTGTGAGCTTCAGTATTCTCATCTGTAAAATGGAGGGGTTGGACTAGATGACTTATAAGGGCTCTTCTAGCTATTATTCTATGATCTACTATTCTTACTATTTTTTGGCTGTCTTTGATAGTGTTAAGTACAAGTAATTACAGTCATTATGCCTGGAGAATCTTAACTGCAGAGAGGATGAAGAAATGGAAGAGGAATGGATTGAACCTGAAAAGAGGAGACCTTGATGAAGGATATTGACAGTGAGGAGTAAGGAGTAGACCTGTTGTGTTAGAGGGCATGAGAAAAGTGGGCCCCAGTATTGGAGAGAAAGTAAGGAGTTGAGAATGGGCTAGTATTGAGTAGTGAGTGGGAGATTAAGAGACGGAGGCACTCAGTATATATGAATGTTTCTTTCTAGGGGTTTGTCTATGGAAGAAATGAAAGTTGTAGGACATAGCTTGAGGAGATGGCAAGGTTTTGTTTTTTTGTTTTTTTTTCAAGGTTTGGGAAAAACCAGTGGTCTTTTTAGAAGGCAGGGAAGGAACTAGTGGATAAGGAGAGATTTGAAATGAGAAACATCTGAGGGGTCAAGTTCCTGGAGGAATGGCTGCAAGGGCCCAAGTAAAGGGGTGGGGGTAGATTGGAAAAGACTGGTGCAAAGGAGGAAGTAATGGGGAACAAAGAGGGTTTTTGAAGTGTAGGATAGGGGAAAAGAGGGAGCAAATGATGGAAAGCCTCAATTTTTGTTGTTAAGTAGAAGGTAAGATCCTCTGTTGGGATGAAAGGGTGATCTAGGAGTCTTGAGAACACAAGATATGAAGAGTCATTATGGAGAATGATAGAGAATGTCAATCAGGGAATAATAAATATTGGCTTTACTTAAGGGAAGATTTAACAGTAGAGTGGAGGTTCCAGAGGGCATAATAGAAGAGGAGTCCAGAGCAGGATAGGGATTTGGGAATGGTAGGGCTCAGGTGAATGAGGATTGGGGAATGGGAACATGGGGGACTTTGAATTTCAAAGTATTAGGGGAGGAGAAATTTTGAGAGCTATAAAATAGGGAAGAAACATTTGATTGAGACCACTACCTTCAAGAGGCCTGTGATGGCTAAGGTAAAGTTGGTCTGTTGTCCCTCAAAGCCTAGAGAAGAAAGGACATATAGTCGGGTATCATGGGTAGGTGATTGGATTCCCAGGGGCCTGCCTGACAGAACTCACAATCAATTCCTGTTCCCTCTGCCTTCTTCCAAGATTTGTGTGTGTAGAGGGGAGAGAGATGGTACCCACCTAGAAGGTAATCTGTGCATGGACGGCTTGGCTTCTTCGACCTAGGGTCTGAGTCCCTACAGTCAGACCATAGTCCTGTCTTCAAGTGGGCACTAATTTTTAGGGGAATCAGGAAAGACACCCTATAGGAGGCTGTGCTTGAGCAGAGTATTGAAGGAAGAGAGATTCTGTGATGCAAAGCTGAAAACTAAGTGGCCTCCAGGTGTGGGGGATGGTCCATTCAAAGGCACCGAGACTGGCTGTGAAGAGCTGAGTTTGAAGCATTTGGCTGGATATTAGAGTGCAGAAAGGAGAATAATGTTAGAAAGATTGAGGCCGGGTTGTATTCACATTTAGAAGGGTTTTAAAAACCAAACAGGAATTTTGTCTTTGAAGGAGTAAGGAGCCATTGGAGTTTGTGTAGGAAAATGTAAATCTGCCTTTTAAAAAAAATTTTTTTTAATTTGGAAATTTTTTCCCACTTAATAGTATTTTATTTTTTCCAATTATATGTAAAGGTAGTTTTCAGCATTAACTTTTATAAGATTTTGAGTTCCAGATTTTTTTCTCCCTCCCCTACCCCCTCTCCAAGACAGCATGCAATCTGATATGGGCTATACATGTACAGTCCTATTAGACGTATTTCCACATTAGTTATTTTGTGAAGGAAGAATCTGAACAAAAGGGAAATACCACAAGAAAAGGGAAAAAAAAGAGAGAATATGCTTCGATCTGCATTCAGACTCCATAGTTCTTTCTTTGGATGTGGATGGCATTTTCCATCATGAGACTTTTGGAGATGTATTAGAAACTTGCATTACTGAGAAGGGCTAAGTCTGTATCAAAGTTAGTCATCTCACAGTGTGGCTGTCCCTGTGTATAGTGTTCTCCTGGTTCTGCTTATTTCACTCAGTATCAATTCATACAAATCTTTCCATTTTTTTCTGAAATCTGCCTGGTTATCATTTCTTATGGAACAGTAATGTTCCATTGCATTCATATACCACAACTTGTTCAGCCATTCCCCC